TCTTGGGAATCGAAACAATGACTGATACTCCCCATGAGTTCGGAACCTACTCGTTAGTCCAAACTTTCGTGAAAAGCGATAGGATTTTGCTGATAAGTGCACTCCCGTCATCTTTGAATAGGGCCGGTGGTAGACTGTCGGGACCAGGAGCCTTGTGGAGCTTCAAAGAAAGGATTGCATCTCGGATCTCTGCTTCGGTTGAGGAGCCAGTGGAATTGTCCGGGCTAAGTAGAGCGAATCGATTATAGTGCAATATACAAGAAGAGCAGTCGCACAGACTGTTCTAACCACAGGGGTATTAGCTTAAGGCCAGTTGTGACAACTACTGGCCTCGATTCTTCTTCATCGCCTCACTGCGGAACGGGAATCTCGGATTAGGGAAGAGCAGGCCGGTTTCCGCCCAGGACGTGGCTGTATAGACCATATATTCACTTTGCGGCAGCTGCTAGAGCAGCGCCACGCATATCGCAGAACGACAATAGCTGTGTTCCTCGATTTCAAGAGTGCGTTAGATTCAGTCGATAGATCGATTCTGTTCGAAATACTTGCGCGGAAATGTGTTCCCACGAAATATGTGAACATCCTTCGTGCTCTATACTCGAACACTACAGGCCGCGTCAGGGTCTACGGTGTCCTATTAGTTGCTTTCCGACCACAAGTGGCGTTCGTCAGGTTTGTCCAATTTCCCCATTTTTGTTCAATTTCGTCGTGGATTCTATCATGGAGTGTTCGCTTAGGGAATCTCACGATGTAGGCGTTGAACCGCTGCCTGGTGAAAGGTTAGTTGATCTTGATCATGCGGAAGATATCGTCTTGCTTTTCGACGATGTTGGGGGGTCCAAACAACCCTGATTAGCCTGTCTAGAGTGGTCCCATTATTTGGTATGCGTTTCGCACCTTCAAATTCATACTGTTGTTACAAGACTATCAGCCCCTAGACCCTTACTAAGAAGGAACTTGAGGTGGTTGATCAACTCATTAATGTTGGCAGCTGCATCAGAAAAGTTGGACACATAGAAACTGACGTCAACTCACGCACTGCAAAGCTCAGAACTGACTTATTGAACCTGAGGCATCTTTGGCGACAGGAGTTTCCCTCCGTCTGAAAGGCCGTGTGCAAAAGGCCACAGTGAGGGCCGTTCTGCTCCATGGTAGTGAGACTTGGCCCCTTCGGTCTGAAGATCTGAGGCACCTTCAAGTCTTTGATCATCGTTGTCTGTGAAGCAATACTGGTGTCGGATGGCACCAGCGTGTCCGCAACGATGATGTGCGTATGCGAGTACTAGGTAGTGATAATCATGCTAGGTCCCTAGAACAACAGATAGCACTGCATAATTTGCGTTGGCTTAGGCACGTGTTACATATGCCTAGTCACCGCTTACCTAGGAGGGCCTTGTTTAGTCTGCAAGGTAGACAGAAGTTGACTTGGCAGCGGGAAATGAAGTCACTGACGACCAAACTGGGTGCCGTTGGTCCGTCTCGCCTTCCGGGTTGGAGTCCACGTGACTCACCTTGTGCTTGGCTCGATACTTTACAGGACACGGCTCGCAACCGACACCAGTGCCGCGTGTGTTGTCGTCTCCCAACCGGATTGCCTGTTTAAAGTGTTTGGTGCTGATTTATCTGCGGGGTAATGGCCGATTATGAGGGGGGGGGGGCAGTGAAATCCGCAAGGAAGCTGTCTCTCCGATGCCGCCTTATCTTTGCAAGATGGCTAGCTGATTGTGACGGCATGTTGTCTACACAAGGTGTATGCGCCTTGACCCTGAATATTTGCTTAGGGCATTAAGGTTTTAAGATAAGTCTCCACTCCTTTCCACTTAGTATTCTTTATTCCTTAGGTCAGTATCAGTTCAAATGGCTGATGTACTGTTGTTTTTTTTTCAGGGAGCGCATGGCTTTTACCTGATGGTCGTCCGATGCACGAAAAGATAAATTTTGGATCGTTGGCGATTGTATCTCCATTATTTTAGCAGCCATAAGGGATAAGTCTTTCAGTTCGGTGTCCCGATGAGCGTTAGTCAATATCTGTTGTACATGTGTAGGGAACCGGCGCCAAAATGGCTGCTTAAAATGGAATTCTCTGGATGTTTGTCACCTAGCACAACTTGCATGGCTCGCAATAGTTGCGTAGGGATGCGATCGCCTAATTGCTCCTCCTTAAGCAGGCGTTGCACTCTTACGCTCACTAAGGGTAAGTCGTTGGTACGTAGGACTTGTTTTCAGGATATTCTGTGCCAGGAGCAATAATTCTGGTGGGAGTCTGAAAATTACATGATGAATCCTTAAGGCTTCCTTATGTATGCGATTGATTTCAAAAATGACGGCCTGAAGAAACCAAAGCTGGGGATATTGTATCGCAAATGTTGGTAAACAACTTGTAGTTAAAGTGTTAATTTCACATGGTTGCTGGTCAGTCATAGTTGCGTTCATAAAGTGATAAAAAAACGAGACAGTGAGTGCGATTCATGGGATGATGTGGGTTGAGTCCGAACTCACGTCGTGTTCACCACTTATAAGAGCGCTTTTTAGGTACGGACTTCAGAATTAATGCGCCGCAGTTCTCGGATGCCAACAGGAAGTGAAAGCATGTATTCCCATTGTTGTATTTCAATGCTCCCACAAATTAGGCACGGAAGAACAGGAAGTCTAGTAGGGCTGTTGTTCTTTAGATGGTAGGCTGTTCAACATTCGATGATCGATAGTATGATGGATGGAGCTACGAAATGGTGATCAATATAGCTGGTAGATCGTTAGCTGATTAGAGATGTTAGCCTACTAGTATTTATATGCAAAATGTAAAAAGGTGTCCTACAAGCTTTTCCAAACCTACATAAATAATCTTCCATCTGAGCTCCAAACTGATTGCCTCACATATATGCTGATCTGAAACTGTGGCTAGAGGTGTCCAAGTTTTATGATGCTGATCTGCTACAGACAATGCTGGACCGGTTGAACTGCTGGTCAATGGAGTGGCGACTTTAACATTAATCATGCTAATTGTTCTGTGTCCCCAAATGGTGCCCCGGACCCCCTTAGTGTTTATCACATTGAGGGATTCCTGCTCAGGAACGCAACCTTGGAGAAGAATATTGGAGTTCTTGTCTCGCCAAACCTACGCACGACTCAAGACACCCTAAAGGAAGTTGCCGCTGCTAATAGATGTTCTTTTCTATAAGATCCTTTTCCCAGATGATTCCAGAGATATTCCGAGTTCTGTTCAACTCTCATGTTCGACCAATTCTTGAGTACGGATTGCCAGCATCTTATCCTCTCACGAAAGCCGTATGCGTACTGATAGATAAGATTCAGCGGCGTGGATCGAAATCCGGCATGACACTCCGGAACCTGTCGTACTCTCAGCGTCTTCAAAGGATAAACTTGTTCTCCCTAAAGTATCGTCGTCGCCGTGGCGACTTGAGATGAGGGATGACGTATAAGAATTTCTTCATCTTTGTTCGGACAGTTCGACACGAGGCCACGGTATAAAGCTGTTTAAACCAAAGAGGCTTCGGGTTCGCTATGATGTCACTCTGTCAACTCGTGTGGTGAATGAATGCTACAGTTCATCTAAGCTAGTCGTCAGTGCGCAGACAGCGGAGTGTTTCTAACGATTACTAGGCATCCATTTGCTTGACAAGAATGGATATTGCTGTGTTGACTGTAACCGCATGCGCCGCTGGGGAACAGCGTGCCGCATCAACTCACATGATCCCTACAGTGAGCGTGAAGCAATGGGGCTGACAAAGAAGTTCCTTTCTGCTCTCTACAAACCAATGAATGAAACCAAGAAGTAAGAAGTTCGTTAAAAGACCTATCCCGCTCTCGGAACCGGACATGTTCCGTTAGGGGGTTATAAGTTTCGCAGGCACTCCAACTGCTACTCCAGCAGTTACAGCATACCAGTATCGGTAATGCACTTCAAGTAGAAAGCTGAGCTCATTTACATTGCCGCTGTTGCTAGATTCTTGTAGTTGCACGCTTCAGTAAGTACAAAATACCATCCGATATTATTCGCCAGATGAACTAAATCGACAGTATGGTTGGTTACTTTTCTGTATCATATAGAAGTATACCACTATACTTCTTATAAACTGCTGTATATACACTGCTGTTGATAAACTACGTTGCTTAAATGCAACCTAGGAATTCGCGCAACACCACAAATCGGTGAAAAGCAGTGATTTACAGCATGATGCACAATCATAAAGAATGCGAAACAAAACGCATCAGGGCACTAAGCGGTGATCGAAACAAAATGAGGCAGTGTCTCTGGCCAATTACCCGTAAAGGAGGAGGCAAAATCTTTAAACCTACGGGACCGAACAAAAATGCAAGTCAGTTTAGTACAAAAACTAAACGTTGGAACAAAGAGCCTACAAAAGCCAAAGTGGCGTAACCAGGCATGTTCAGTTCAGTTCAGATCAGATAGGACTGGAACGATAGGAGAATCCCATGAGTGTTCCATCTTGAGTGGATCGTTGAGCCAGGAATTATTTAAGTGCTCAGTTGTCGATAGATCTAAAACGGAACACCCATATCGCACCCTCCCAACCAGTTAATGCCCACGTTTCCTGCCCCAGCAGTCCTTGCTGTGGCAGTCAGATGAAGTAAGCAAAGGATAGGAAGAGAAATCGAAGGTACAGAATAAGGAAGTGCCCGTAAATGAGAAAATAATACCGATGCGTGAAGAAAAGTAGAGAAAAGAAAATCGAAGTACGAAGATGTGACTTACTCAGGAAAATGGAAAGGTTATATGTTGCCACCCAAGAGCGTCAAGTTGCCGCTCAAACCCCCTAACCGTAGATGCCCTGATGGCACTTTCCGGAAGCATGTTCCGATGTTGTGATAGGGCTGGATCGTTCGAAAGATTTCTAGTGATAACAAAGCAAAGAGGTAAGGGGTTAATAGAATAAAGCGGGTTATAATGGTTAAGGTAGAATAAAAATAAAAACGTATCACGGCTGATAAAAAGTTATCTGTAGGGTTCGCGCACATACCTGCAGTACGAAACGGCGAAATTTGTCCATTAAGAAAATTTAAAAAGTGGGAGCGGTTCGTGGCCTACAGAACCATATGATTTTAATCAGCCTAAGATAATGTAGACATGGGCTTTGTGTCTGGAAATATTTAAAATTAGTGATAACACGGCTTATAAATCGTAATTCTAAAGATTTTCACTTCAACCGGGGACTGGACTGTTGGATCTTGACATTTCCTGGCACTTAAATTAGAGACGCCTATTTGGTAAGATTCGGTCAGAGTGGCTGTCAACATTTGAGGCGATTTTATTTACTTTACTTAACACCTTATGCGCGTAAACGTACTCTAACTACTAAACCGTGGCAAAGAAATTAATCGAATTTTGATGCCTTCGGGTCACTTCTGGTCAGGTTTGGTAAATCTGACGATAAATGCTTGCGCTTGTCCTGTTTCTTGTGCCACTAAGTGAAAAGCAGCCCCTGCACTTCGATTCAGGGTTGACTTGTCTTGTGTCTGCAAAAGTACGAAGCAAGAACAAGAGCAATATTTTCACATTCGTGTATCAGCGCCGGAATACACTGCAGATTCCAGTATAATTACAATATCTAATAAAAAGTAAGGCCAACACCTATCTAAGCACTTTACAAAGGCGTCTACCCTCAATCACGCTACTAACTCAGAAGGAAAGTTATTCCAGTTGTTAAGTACTCAGTATTTAACAGTTGAGCTCTGATGTGCAAATGAGCCCCATGTTGATTGAGATTCAGGCGACGCCTGTACAGGTGGTCTTAGCTAACTAAAACAGGTTGATGGGTTTGATACCACTGAATACCTTAATGGTCTAAAGCATCTGTAACAGCTTCCCACTCAAACTACGCCGTGCCTTCACCGCCTTTCTTACTTGGCGGTAACAGTAGTTCCGGCGTGCTGTATGTTTGAGGTTTTCGCTTTCGTTTTCTGCCTTGTAAACAGTGAGAAGAACAAGAAAAATTTCCAAGTTTTCATCTATCTTACACTTATCGCATTGCAATCGCTTTTTACACAAAGTTGTATCCGATTTCGGATACTTATTGATCAGCTTTATTTTGTTTACCTGGCCGGCTTTGACCAGGTTTGTCGGCGTAGTTGAAGTGCCTAACCCGTTTCATACTTCTTTGAACCTATTCCGGTTCCTGTTGATTGCTCGACTGGCCGTTCCTCATTGTTGTTACGTTTACCCTTCAGCACGCCTCTTGTTAACTTGCAGTCCGTTTTACATGAAAGACACAGGTGCCCTCGGCATGTTTGCCCAGTGTGTCAGTTGCTGTCTGCGAGAAAAAATCTTGTTCATAGGTGTTTTCACGGAAGACTCATGTGTGGCTTTAGCGTTCGTTGGTTCCATGTACGTTGCGTCAGATTTCAAGCGGACCAATTTTCGATGTTGTCTACCAGCGTTTGTCTGCTATCTTAATGTGTTGGCCGTTGTAGGTGTCTACTGAACCGTTGAGCAAGTATGCTCATCCATTATGGTTTCCATGGACTGAAAACGGACTTCGGTATGTGGGCTCTTGGCATACCAAGTGATGCCAGTCTAGAAGTTTGCTAGGTCAACATTCACCAAGCGCTGACTTAAATGGTCCGTCTGAGTGGACGGCCGTTTTGGGTAAAATTATGGCTCCCAAAAACGCCTCTATTGGATTGGCAAACATGCCCTTTCGGTATTTTGTAAACTTGTCGTTTACCGTTGTTTTAATCTACAAAAACCACTTGTTTTACTGACGACATTTCCGTTGATAATATTGTGTTGGTGGTTACCTTGCCGCACCGCTGCTCGCCCTGGTTGTTTTACTTTCTATGTTTGAAGCTCGAAACTATACGATGGGTTCAGTCGTCTCCAACTTCCATACAGGCCTGTGTTTGATTCAGCGCTTACGTGTCATTGAGTACCGGTGCGGCGCCACCCAACACATGTTGACCCCGGTCCAGTACACGTTAACCGTCATTTTGAATTTTTATTCTGGTGAGCTCTTTCCAGTTACTTTGGGATTCGTTACTTGGCTTCATCTTGTTTTCTCACCTAGCAACTTGGTAATTCCCTTTTTGCAGTATATTATCTGGAGGATAGGCCATCAGTATACGCGGTTAGCGCCTTTGAGTCTCTCCTGGTCAATGCTGTTGCATTAGCACCGCCACTATGTTGCCAGAATTATCCGTCGTGAGGGATTTTGCACCTAGAATCCGTTTCTTACATTCCTTGGATTTCTTCTGAGTTCGCCATGTATAATCAGCAAATATCTCCCCTTCCTTAGAGTACATCCTCGCAGGTGAGGGGCAGCTTATTTAGCCCCTTCTGTAATGAAACAAGAGACTCTTAAGCAAGCTATTATTCAGCGAAGCCCGCCTACTGAGAAGGTCCGTCTGCAGCAACTAGTTATTGATCTGCAACTGGGAGAAATAATGCTATTAGCATTGTTGCGCGAAATTTAGCGGCTCATCCGCACATTCGACATGGACGTAGGGCCGCTCCGCAAGCTGTGAATGCACGGGTTCCTGCGAGCACTCCGGCTATCCTTGCAGTTGCAAGGGACCTGCTACACACAGCAATGAATGGGCTAGCAGACCGCGTCATTGAACGACATCAGTCAATGAACGACATACATTGGACGTAACCCCGTCGCAGCCCCAGCAACGCACGTGCCTAGTGATCCGTCAGCAATCGGCGTTTTATCATTGCAAATAGCGTCAATACAACTCCAAGTCGAGAAATCCTCCCCAGACTGTAAGCAGCGCACCCGATCTAGCTCCCCACCCCGCTGCACGAAGCATAACGATACAGGCTTTCGCTTTTATCAGTCGCGTATAGGTAACGTAGCCCATAAATGCGAGAAACCATGCGGTTCCTCCTTTAAGAAGCTGGGAAACTTACAACCTGGCCCGTAATGGCCACTAACGGGGTCGGCAAAGCTCATTGTCGTTTCATCTGCATTAGAGAGTATGCTTCAGAGAGCCAGTTCTTAGTTGATGCAGGGGCAGAATTTGACCTCCTGTCCCTATGCTAGGTGAGCCTATCGCCTCTTTGTCGACAAGCCTAAGCGTAGTCAATGGTACGCTCAGAGCCACCTACGGCCGTCGGTCGTTTACGTTGGACCTATGCATTAGGCGCACGTTCCGCTGGGTGTTCATCTTCGCTGTAGTCCCTTTTACCATAGTGGACGTGGACTTTCTAAGGCCTTTCGACCGCTTGGTCGATGCGGAACGCCAGAGGATAGTCCTTACTCTAACGAAACTCAGCGTACGTGGTATCACCGCCGATAGCGCATCTATTACATCGGTTTACGCCTTCCCCAGACATCGCCAGACTACGCCAAACGCCCTTCCCAGTATTCCAAGCTCGTTCAGCCAATGAACGCAGCTATGCCAGTGGCATTCCAAAGCAAGCACCACATAAAGACGAATGGCCCCGAGCACATGCTTTCCACACCGACCATCGCTCGAGAAACTAGGGGGGAATTTGTGCACATGCTCGAACTAGGAATACCCCGCCCTTCCGACTGCCTTGGTCATCACCCTGGCGGAGGGTCCCTAAGTAGTCAGTTGCTTGGCGTCCTCGCGGTGGTTACCGCGCACCCAATCGGCTGGCCGTCCCAGATAGGTATCCCACAACACACGCAGGACTTTATCGCATGCCTACCAGGTAAGACCATCTTCAGCAATAACGAGCTGGTTCTCGTATAGCCCCACATATCTGTAGAAGAAAAGGAAGTTCCTAGAAAGCTGTTATGACTCCTTTTGGATTACAGGACTTTTAAGAATGCCACTTGGACTGTGCAACGCTGACAAAACTTCCAACGCTTCCTCCACAATGTCATCCGTGGCCTAGACTTCGCTTATTCCTATCCCGATGATATTTTTGAGGCCAGTTCATCGGAAGAAGAGCCCCTCGAGCGTTTTCGACCACCATTCCAGCTCTTGACCCAACACCGTGTAACAGGCAACCCGACTAAATGCGAATTTGGCAAATCAGCGGTATAATTCCACAGCCACCTTTTTTCATCGCCTGGTATCGAAGTCCTTCCAGATATGATCCAGACACTCTAGTACTTCCCAGACCCGACTTCGTTCAAACTACCCTGTCGGTGTTGTGGTTTCGTCAAGCACTATCGATACCTCATTCCGCGCTGCGTTCAGCTCATGCAGTCTTTGACTAACCTGCTTAGAGGGCATGAACGTAAGTTCGCATTCCCTGACGCACCACGGACAGCCCTCGCTAAGCTCAGGAATGCTATCTGCAACATAGCCCTCCTCCCTCCTTCCGAATCCACTGCATATCTTTCTATTGTGCCAGATGCCTCGTACGTCGCGGGAGAAACCGGCAATTGCAGCTCCTTTGGTTCGTCTCCAAGCGCCTGCAGCCAGCGGAATCCCGCTACTGCACACTTGGTCGAGCACTGCATGCCATATTTACCGAGCCATTTGGCATCTCCGGCACACACTTGAAGGCCACGGGTTAACGGTCTACACTGACCACAAGCCCCTCATCTTCGCCTTCAACTCTGCTTGCGACAAATACTCACCACGAGAAACAAGACATCCAGACTTGTACTGCGGTTCACTGCTGACATACGCCATGTTTTAGATGTCGACAAGCCCGCCTTCGACACTCTCACGCGTTAACCTTACTCTTCCGTCTTTGCCTACTGTCAATTTTGCTGCCATGGCTTGGGCTCAGGTTCAAGATGGAGGCTACCAACGCACGGCAGTCCAATTTGATGCATGTGCAAAGCGTTCCTTTCGCACCCTCGGAAGGAACCCTTCTGTGTGGCACTTCCACAAGTTGTCCTAGACCCCCTTGTGCCCGCCTCATTCAGAAGCACAGCATTGATCTACTGCACGCAATATCATGTCTCGGTATCCGTGTATGTTTGAAACCGGTCATCGAACGTTACGTTCGGCCAAACGTGAACAAATATGTTCGTAACTGGGCTTGCGCCTGCGTTCAGTGCCAGCACTCCAAAGTGCTTTGCCACCCCACAGTCCTCTTGAGTCGTTTCCGACCCCGAACGCTCGGTTCTCGCTTGCTGACTTA